AAGGGGCAAAAGGCACTACCTGAAACAAAGAAAGTTTCATCTGAATACGAGGAAAAACTTCCTTACTGTGTGGATGACAGAACACTGAAACAAGCTGCCCAGAGAGGCTGTACAGTCTCCTTCCCTGGAGATACTCAAAACCTGTCTGGTCATGATCCTGTGCAACCTGTTCTAGGTAATCCTTCTCTAGCAGGGGATTTGTACTAGATGATCTCCAGAGGTCCCTTCCAACTTCAACCATTCTGTGATTCTGTGTTATTTTGTGGCATTTAACTAACAATGAAGTACAGATCAATTAATATTTCTACCCATACAGCCAAACAGTTGGTGCTAGGATATGTATGGTTTTGTAATAATGTGTCATTTTAACCTGCTCAACTTACAGAAATGACATACTGTACATTCTAATCACCAACTGTGTTTTATGCTTAATTATTCAAAGTTATGTTGCCTGACTTTTCTACCACACGCTGAAAATACACTCCTGTGTGTTTTGAGCTCTTTAGAAGAAAGCAGAATTGCATTTTCATCTTTCTTTGCTGAGTATTTAACAGCCCTGCTGTGCTCTGAGCTCTCTAGAAAGTGAGCCTTGCTAGGAAACTTAAATCCTCTGAGAACAAATTCTGTCCCTCCAGTAAGTATAACCACAAAATAGCCTCACAGAGGTCAACTCTTGGCATCAGCTTACTAAACGGAAGCAGAAGCCAATCCACCTCAGAAATAGCTATGAAACAATTGTTTGTAGCTTTATCTCTCTCTGTGGGACAAATTAAAACATGTACTCATCAGAGTGAATTTTTTGTGGATTAATATAAACCTTGAATATTGGAAGATAACATGAGTGGAAGCCAGGGTGATCAAACTAGCTCTTTTATCTCAATCTTTTTGAGAAAACAGGTTGTTTGTTTTTTTTACTTTCTGTGTCTCACTTGTATGAGAAGGAAGAAACATCAAGGCCTGCTTTCTTCTAGGAAGAAACATCAAAGGCCTGCTCTTTATTTCCACCAGGTGCATGTGGGTATGTAAGATGTGCTTGGGAACAAACATTTCACTACCGTTGTTGAAGCAAGGTTAAGAGAGCCAATGTTCAGGGAAGAAAAGACACCTTTAATTTCATACTTTAACAGCTCAAAAATGGTGGCAGTATCTCAATTATTTCTGTACACAAATGAGCTATTGGTGGTTTCAGCATTCTTTGCTGCATTACAGACTGCTTGTTTTGCTGGAGTAACCATAATAGAGAAATGCAACACTGCCTGCGCTGTGTGGCCATATATATATATATATATGCCACTGAGCAATGATATATGACTAGCATCAGCTGTGGCAGTGGAGCTTATACAGCAAGATTTGTGTTTCTTACAGGAGTACTTGCTATAAATATAGCTATAACCACCTACTCGTGTTTTATCTTAAGAATTTATTCATGAATCGTAACAGTCAAAAGTATGGGTAACTGATAAGAAGTTAGAGCTCCTTTGAGGAGATTACCCTCATATAGACACAGTTTAAGAAATCCAGGTTCAGCTGTAACTACATCACAAATCAGAGCAGCCTTCTTTAGTACTTGAAGTGCTGACTGTGGACATTCCACATTACAATACATTGCAACGCTTGTTTGATTTGTACCTAAGAAGAAATCAACCTGTTCAGCAGCCAGGTAATTACTAAGTGCACGATGTAGAAGATGCTACTGGATTGATTGCACAAAGCACAGACCAGTGTAACACAAAATCTTCAAGCCTCAAAGAAGGATTTTATTCTTCTTTCAGAAAACTCTTTTTTGGCAATGCCTGCTAATATTTTACTGTTTCTGAATTCTGAGTACATTCAAGTCTTAGTAACGTGTAGCTTCCCTAACCCACTCTTCTTTTTGGCCTCCCACTCTGGTTGCTCTTCTCTTGCTAGACTTATCCATTTATTTCACATACGGAGCTCAGTAAGGTCCATATAGGAAACGTACATCATGTTGTATTGATCAGCATTCTCCCAGGTTTCCCTGTGGATTGGTGGCACAAATGGCACCCAGGACAGATGCCTGCTGTGGACTGACCAAGTGATGAGCAAATTGGGTCACGGAAACATAGAGTCACAGAATGGTTTGGGTTGGAATGGACCTTAAAGTTCATCTAGTTCCAACCCCCCTGCCATAGGCAGGGACACTTTCCACTAGACCAGATTGGTTAAAGCCCCATCCACCTTGGTCCTGAATACTTCCAGAGATGAATCCACAGCTTCTCTGGACAACTTCTTGGGAGTACCAGTTCATGGAAGCCACAGGCCAGAGATCATTAGTAACCAGTGGCAGCAGCAGTCAGGGAAACCTCTTTCCTTGTCTTGAAAGGAGGGAATGAGGCAGAAAGCTGCCCTCCACACAGCATGTAGTCCGCTTACTTGCTTACTGAGTTTTCTATCACGCAATTGACATCAAAGGATCAACGTGCGGCGTTAGCATTGCACAGCGCCCGGTTCACCTTATAGCATTGGCTCGGAGCTCCTTGATGGCCACAGAGCGAAAACAGCCCCGGACAGCAGGTAACACTCCTCGTTTAGCAGCCAGAAGGGCAGCGGGCAGCCCGAGCTCCCCGATCCGCTGCGCTCACGCCGCCCGGGCCGAGCCCGGCGGGTCATGGCCAGGTGAGCGCCGGGATCGCTCCCCCGATAAGCGCCCCTGCTCCCGCCCCGACACCTGCGCGGCACCGCCCCGCAGCGCCCGGGGCCGGGCGGGGCCCCGCCACCGCCGCCCTTAAAGCCCAGCCGCCCCCAGCAGTTTCCTTCCCTCTTTCCCTCTTGTTTTCCAGCCCCGAGAGTTCCGCTGGTACCGGGCTGGCAACATGGGTATGTGCTGCGGGGAAGGGTGGGGGCAGCCTGGAGGCGGGTGGCACGGCAGTAGCGGTCCCCGGCCTGGGGGCCGCGGCAGGGATGCCGCCCCGGGATGAGCACCGGAGGATCCTCAAGCCGCCTCTCTCCGAGTCGGTTGTCCGTGCCGGACTGTGAGCTGGCAGCATGGCTAAGGAGCCGTGGGCCCCCAGGGCTGGCTCCGCTGTTCGGTGCAGGTCTGAGGACACCTTCGGATGCTCTTCCTTTTTTATCATCCCTCTTCCTCTGGGGCAGCTCTCCTTCTGGCAATGCTGAGTGCTGGCTTTCGTGACTCTGCCTTGAAACCCGAGCAAGAGCCGAGTGATGTTGCCTTGGCCTTGTGAGCTCTTAGAGCTGAGCCCCTGGCTGTTAAGGTTTACCCTACACTTTCAAGGCATGTGGAGCTTAGGATCTGAGCACAAGATACATGTGGTGTTTCTCACACATGTTAAATAATGCTTTTTTACTGAGACTGTTTACCTATGATTGACCTAGTGTTTTTTAAATATATTGAGACACAGATTGAACGTTCAGATAAGGGTAGAGCCCATTTAGCTAATTAATCCTGAAGGTTTATTCTTGTCTGAATTGGAACACCAAGTAGTAAATGTGCAAACAGTGCTTTTCTGTGGTGTAGCTCTACATTGCCATTTGTTGGACCCTTGGTCCTGCAGTGTCAGAGCACATTGGTGTGTCTCTCCTAGCAAGCAGTTCTTGAGTTGGAGAAACCATGTCTTACACAGGGAAGGAACCTGAGACGCAAAAAAAAAAAAAAAAAAAAAAAAGAGAGAGAGAGAAAGTGCCATTGCATCTTCAGCAGGCAAATCTACATTCTGGGAACATGCAGCTGTAGTAAAGAGCAGGTAGAACCTGGCAATGGTGCTGCCAAGGGGGGCACTGGAGTCTCACTGACTCGGGCAGCCAACTGTGAAAATGGTGATGGCTGTGGGAAGAGAGAGAAATGCGATGCAGCTGGGTCTGCTCATGTAATATCAAGCTTGCTGCATTATTGGTTTACTTGGATGGTTTCTATGTCAGTGTTTTTCAGGAACAGCAAAGTGTGAATCAGGGACTCTTGGAGTTACTTATCCTGATGGTAGCAACATCCTTGTGGAGGTGCTGGAAGGCTGCTCCAGAGAGCAGAGGCAACAGGTTTGGCTGTGCCACAAGTCAGGTACCAGGAAAGCAGGCTTGCTCTGGAGCTAGAAACATCCTCAGTGACAGTGTGGGTGTGTATAGATTTAACCTGGCCACATGAAGTATTTCAATCTGGTAGATTTGCTGAATGGAGCAAGGCAATGCACTTCCATCTTGTGTCATGGAGCGTGAGCTGCAGGAGTTGAAGCATCACACTACATCCCTATGACTGCAGGGAACCACACTGGTGGGAGCTGCTGGGGAAGGGGTTGGAGCCATAAGCCTGTCCCACCTTACCTGCAAGTATGAGAAAGAGAGAGTGACCCACTGATAAATAATTATTTAGGTGCAGTGCTAAAGCCAAGAACTGAGTGGCTTATGTCTCTACATTTCTTAAAAATATTTAATCTCTAAGGGAATACAAAGGGACAACTGCTTGGAGGTTTATATCGAAAAATGCAGAGCTCTTCAGTGTTTTGTGGAGAGAATGAGGAGTTCTGTTTGTCATTCTATGTGGGGAGAGAATAAGAGGTGATGAGGGTTGCCTCAAAAAGGGACTGCTCCAAAATGGTACTAGCAAACCTCATATTTATCACTGAAAATGATCCAAAATGTTGGGTGCTCTGTGCTTTTGTAGATCAAAACCTGAAGCTGCCTGATGGTGGAATCCTCAACTAATTTAGGTGGCTTTGTTGAAATGTTGGCTTTAATGCTACTGGGAGTTTCCCTGACCCTCTATGTAAAAGGAGAATTGAGGGGTAAAGTCAAAATAATTGAGAAATAAGTGTGTCTCTTAAACATGGAAGTTAGACAATGTTGTCTGACAAAAATGCCTCTGATGTCCTCTGTGTAAAGTTTCTTACAGAGGTGATACTTTCACCATTTGGAAAGGAAAAAAATGCAACCAACAGCAAGTTTCTTGATATTTTTGTCCCAAGGCTTAGCTAACAGACAGGAGCTGCCCGAACTGTTGTTCTCTGTACATGTTACGAAAAAATGGCAATATGACAGGTGAGCTGGAAAGGCCAACAACCGGAAATAACCAAGGAGTTGCTATGAAGATAATCTATCACTAACATCTTAGTATCCTTCAGTGTATCTGCTCACATGGGTTGTATAAGGGACATTGCCAAAAATTTTAATAACTCATGTGCCTGCACATGGCCTGAATTTGTTGTGTTAGCACTTTCAGAATGTTACTTGTTCCCTAGGAAAATGTATTCTTGAATTACCTGCTGTCTCTGTTGTGAAGGTACTTGTCCACAGCAGTGAAGGAAAGAATCAGATTAATCAGTTTTAATAATTTCTGGAAATTATTTTAGTTAGTATCATGTCAAACGCTATAGTGTTGCTGTCAGCTGTTTTTATCCATTGTGAACTATGGACTAAATAACGATTTTGGCAAAGATACTTATAGAGATCTATTGTGGGCATACTTGGTTTACAAGCAGGGATTTCAAAGTTCACATCTTGTACTTGTCTTATCTTAAGGATAATGAGTTTACTTGTGGTTTCATGTGAAACATTGACATCAACTATCTAGCACAGTGAAAGCTCAGCCTACAAACCTGTCCCCTGAGCCAAGCAAGCCCTGCAGGACACTGCTTGAAGGGCTGCCAGGGATAGTGGGCCTGCCATGATCAGCTGAAAGTCACTTTAGGGCTGCTCTTTAGATGTCTGCTCTTCCTGCCCTCAGGATCCCCCTGTGCTTCCAGGTCTTCCTGGGTTAATTTTCAGGTCGTGGGAATGCCTGCTAACATGGATCACTCAGTTGCACTGCGTATTCAGTCCTCTTTAAATCTGAGCTGTGGAAAGTTTGTCCCTTTTCAGGACTTGACCTCCATCTGTGGCAGGGCATCTTTAGTCTATTCCCTACTATTGACTTACCTTCAAGGTAACATCCCTGAGAGCGAATTGAAGCAGGATTCATCTTCTGTGAGTGGCTGGATGGTCTAGCACCACCCTAAATGATATGGAGTGAGCAGTCATAGTAGGATGGGATGCTTTGTCTTGTCACTCCTTTTGAGTATTTCCTGTGACTTTATGCACACCCTGAAAAACCTAAGGCAATCAAGTGATGTTTTGCCTAATAACCATGAAAAGTCTCCCTTTAGTAAACTGAACATTTACTCATCCTGAAAAATACTGTGCTTGTATTTCATTATTTTGAGCTGAACTTTTTTTGAATCTTCCATTGGTTTTAAAGGAATATTACTTACTACTTTCCATTAACTTCTGTTTTTTTTTTTCTCTTCACAGCTGGAAGAGGTAAGGGCAAGTCAGTAAGTATTGTTTTCTCTTATAAAAAGTTGCTATACTGACTCTCTTTGGGTTACATTGTTTTGGTAACTTTAGCAGTACACAAAATAACATTAAATGTATAAAATAGTGAGCTACTGGCCAACTGATGCAAAAGCAGCCTTGTAGTTTTTAAAGTTCTAGCTAAGCATAAGTGTGCTCACCATCCTGATAACAAGTCTGAAGAGCCTGTGCTGACTGAGCAGGCATTGGTCCCTGGAGCCCATCCTTCTTGTGGCTGAGTTGTCATCATCCACCAGCTCTCCTTTAGGACTCCTACTTTTCAGTGGTAGTTCTTGCTCTTGAATCTTTGAACTGCTAATGACACGTGTCTCAGCAACTCTATCTCTGTGCTTATCTTATAAGGTTTTACTCCACAGACTTTCCCTCTGTTTAGTGGCTTCCTCAGCAGCCAAAGTCAAAGCTGTGCAGTGGGGTGCTGGTAACCCCAGGGCAGGGCAAAATTATGGAGAGCATTATAAAGCATAACCTTCAGGTTACCTCTTTGGTGGTGGAGCCAGTGCTTCTTGACCAGTGAGGATTACAACAGTAAAGGTTTTGGTGGTAGATGTGTGTATTTGCACATGTATACTGTAACAGGGGACAGTATAGTGCAAAACAAGGACAAGTATAAGTCATATATTATCATGGATTAATTGCATAGTCTCCTTGCTTGTAGCATCTTGGAAAAGCAGAAGGCTTGTCACCTTTAGGAAGACCAATAGCTTTCTCCTGCCTGCCTCTGTTCATACTCAGCTCCAGCTGTGACATGCAGATCCCTTCCAGTTCAGAGGCAGACAGTAAAAGCCCACCAGTGGCTGCTGTGCCACCATGTGAATGCAGGATGTCTCCACCAGGCACATAAACACTAGTGGCTTAAAAGAGAAATCCAGCCTTGCTGGATTGCAACCTCCCCAGACCAGCATGTAACACCCTCTTAAACAATAAGGCGTTGGGTAGGATGATGATGTAATGCTGGGGAGGTTTGTGAGAACCCCAAAATGGTCAAAAAGATTTTAGTGAGGTTTTGTGACATTCTGGTGGGGATGGGTCCCACCAGCTCCTGGTCCAGGACTGCTCTTTTTTCTCTCTGTGGGCAGGACAGACATGGGGAAGACTTTGTTCCACCTCAGGAGCAGACATTCTCTCCTCTCCTGCTAGGCTATTCCCAATTACACTGGCAGAAACAAGTCATGCAGTCTGGATTACTGTTTCAGTGACTAACCTAACGTGGTGAAATCAAAATCTCTTCGGTATATCTCATGGCTGCTGAACTAAACCTTCACAGTGTGGTTCTCCATCTGTCTCCTCAGGAGCATGAACATTGTCATGGCTTAGGGGGATAGTGTGTGGGCAAGGTGGGAAGCATTTGTCTCTGTGAACTCCACCAACAGCTGTGTCCAAGTTGGGAGTAGTTATCCAGAGCTCCTGCCCTCTTCAGCTGAGGGAAATGGGCACTTTCAAGTGAAAGTAACTAATTTTTGGATACATGCGGATGATCTTCCTTTGGAGACACCTTTCTGCCCAAGGATGTGATAAATCAAGGATGACAAGTTTATATTTATGCCTCAAATTTTGATTGCTCCAAAGCTAGATGAGTCCCACTGGCACTTGCCTGACACTGGGTTTTTTCAGTGAATCCTGCTTATCAAACCATGGGTAGGATGGGCACTACATAGTTGGTTCTGCTAGTAACAAAAATCAACGCTGTTCAGGCTGCTCAGACATCCTCACGACTGAGTCAGATAGGTCAGCAAGGCGCTTGCCACTTTCATTTCTTTTGCAGTATTCACAAAAAACCTGTTGTAGCATGCAGGTCTCAAAGTCTTGTGTTGTTCATTGAAGATTTGCTGGAGGCATGGGCTCTCTGATTTACTTGTGTCAGGCAGGATATCCCCATGTAAGGTTTCTTTCCTTCTGATCTGCAAAGTTAACTTTTTCGTGTTTCGCATGAAATACAGATCAGTTTAATTCCTGAACCCTTGCAATCCAAACAATGCTATTTTTTTAATTAAACCTAAGAAGCATGGGAAAGAATTGTTTTATCTCTGGAATGTTCTGAGTCTTATTGAAAATCTGTTTTTTTGCTATTTGCAGAATTAAACCAATAAAAAAAGATTTTTAAGGAAGAATTATGTTTATATTGCATTCCCATTAATTTTAATAGAAATGATATCATGTATTCATCCACTAAGAAAAGTAGATGATCAGAAATTAAACTTCAAGTTCTACTGATAATGTCAGATTTGTACCTGATGTATGTTTTTTTTCCCCTTTGTCTCAATGGCAATAACTCTGGTACAAGCTACATGACTGACCATTGACAAGCCTGTTGCAGCAGGTGAAGGTTCAGTGAATCTGGCATCTAATGCCACACCATTTTAGGTTAGGAATAAATTCCATTCTACCAAGTCTGAAGAAATTAAGAATTCTTCAAGCAGAGTATTTTTAAGGATGGGAAGTTTTTCCTAGAAATTTTCTTGAATGAAAACTTTAAATGTTTATTTTTCTCAACTGCAAGTGTTTAAAAATAACCCCAGGCTTCTAACTGTGGTGTGCTGTGGGGTTTTTTTGTTGGTTTGGGATTTTTTTTTTTTTCATAAACATGGCTTTTTGTGTATTTTTAGATACCAATCAAGATTGCTCTAAGAGTTAGGTGCTGGAGACCTCAAATGTGTATAGTGCAACACTTGAAGGTCAGGTATAGCATTGCTAAAGATCTCTTGCAAAGGGCAGATGAGCAGTGTGTAGAGCTCTGGGGACCAAGAGGGGAAAGTGAGAACTGACTCTTGGCTCAGATAAACCATTGTCATTTCCACAGAAGCCCATGCAGCCTCCTGACCCTGAGTACCCACCCACTTCCACTGAGTTCACATTAACCTTGCTCAAGCTGTGGGTTGCAGTGAGCAGTGTTAGTTTGTGTTGCACAGCTCTGACCTCACACTGTCTCTTGCCTCCAGTCACTCTGCTCTGGCTTCCCTCTGAGCATCCTCTTCATCGTCGTCAATGAGTTCTGCGAGCGGTTCTCCTACTATGGCATGCGAGGTATGTACTGTGTCTCCTTGTGCTGACCACATGTTACCCAGCCCTGACTTTGGTTTGTAACCCATTGTTTTGTTGTTCTTCCTACAGCTGTGCTCGTTTTGTATTTCAAGTTTTTCCTCCACTGGGATGACAATTTGGCCACAGCCATCTACCACACGTTTGTTGCCCTGTGTTACTTGACACCTATCCTTGGAGCAATCATTGCAGACTCTTGGCTGGGAAAGTTTATGTGAGTGCTTCCTCAGAAAAAAACCCAAAAAATCTTGAAAGCTCACCTGAAATCAGTGTTACATAAACCATCACCTAAAACAGCAGCTCTGAACACCTTCAGAGCTGGTGTTGACTACTCCAGGATAGTTTGTTTTATTTGACCAAAACTTGAGGTTTTAATTGATTGAGCTCAGACTTGAAATTGCACTGTTAATTAAGAAATGTTCCAGTTCTGCTAATCAGTTAAGGGTAGTAGCATGCTTTCCCAGCATACTGCATGTTTTTCCTCTCACATAGACAAAATGCAAGCTAAACTAAGGAAAGTATTCACCAAGCTGTGAAAATAGATACCGGAGATTATAATTACATTGGACAGCCTGTTTACCTACTGTAGGTGGCCAATGAAATAGTGAATTAACTGGGACTTAAACTAAGTTTTAAAATACTGTATGATTTCAGAATTGACAGTTCAGTGAGAGTTCTTACTGAGTAGCAAGTCTGTCTTTAAATCATGTATTCTGTGGTTTTTACCTGTGTGCTAATTGTTCAGGAAAGTACCACTGCAGTTCTTTGAAAGGTAACCAGATTATTTCCAAGAGCCTTATCTTGCTCTCCTTTACTAATGTCTTGATTCTAATAGTGTTTACTTTGCCTGAAAAAAAGCACAATAAAGATTTTATGGAAGGTCATGAACCATGAATGTTAACTGACTTGCCAAAGGTCTCCCAGAGATGAGAGATGAAGCTATCTGTGCTGTGCAGTCAGCTGCACCACCTTCTGCTGTGCTGACAGCCCTGGGAAGCCCAGGACTGTGACCACTGCCCTGTGTGCTCCATGGAGCTGGTCTGAGCAGTGTGAACTCACTGCAAGTAGCTAGATATGTTGCAGATTGCAGCCCAAATATGTTGTGTACTTGCTTGTTTAGATGGTATAGTTTATTTTTTTAAAATCCATTTTGGCTTCTACTTATTTTATCAGGATGAAGCTTTGCAGATCTTGCATCCCTTCTCCTTTGGTACTTATTTAACCTTAATTGTACACTTTCTCCCAAGCTGTTAGGCAACTAAAGTAATGAAATTGAAGTGCTGTTTAAAAAAATATTCTACGTTGTCTGTTAAATATCACTTAACAGCAGATTGACTGTTCCCCCACTTCATAGATCTTTCCTCTGCTACAGGGAAGAGAATTTTAAGCCAGAGAAACTTTGCTGTAAAGTAAGAAGAATTTGTCTGTGTCCCTCTTGTATCAGGGTGCTGCTCCAAGCTTGATGTGAGGATCTCTGGCCTATGTCAAATAGAGTTGGATTGTCCTAGGTCTTGGAGCCTGACTTTCATTGTCATGAGTTGCACTGGGTTTGGGACTGCTTCTCCTGCAAACTGAGTTTTTAAATACTTTCCTATCATTGCATCATATTTCTCCTACTTTTCCTCCAAACTGGGGAACTGGATCTGTGCCTGTTGAATGGAGGCTCACCCAAGGAAGCAAATGAACATGGTTTAAACTACACTCACATGCTTAAGGTCCAAAAAAATTAAAAGGGAGTGTGTTTTTACATACAGAAAGGAGGACTGGACCCTAAAGGCAGGCTGGTGATTTTGCAGCATTACCCTCCTAGGCACCTCCTGGTAGAGGAAGTCAGGCTGAAAGCCTGCAACCTGTGCTCTTCAGTGCTGCTCTTGCTCTAATCTGAGTGTAAAGATGTTCACACACAACCAAGTGGGAGAATAGAGTTGTTGTTCACAAAACTCTTTTGGTGTAATTTCCATGATTAAAGTAGATTTATAATTTTTTTCTTCTTTTATTCCTGCAACTAGAATATAAAGTAACATAGAGAATGTTTAGTGATATTAAAATCAGTGTAAATTGCATATTTGTGTTACAGAGTAGTCCATTTAAACTTCACCGTATGCAAAATATAATTAATGGCATTCTTGAGTTGGTTATTAAAAAGGCAACCACTGAAGATATTTAAATATCTCCCATGAGCTGATGATATCTATAGAATCCATTTGTCATCTTGCCTTGTTTAATTAAACAAGGCTACCTAAAATAATAATAATAAAAAAATAGAATAGAATACTGTGGCAGTGGTGTGGGGACAAATTTTTACAGTAGCTTTTGAGAAGTTCAGTCCTTATTGTATCTGTTAATTGTGCTTCTTTACTAAGCATCTTTGAAATAAGCAAAAGTCTGCTTTATCTATGTAATCTGCACTGTCTGTGTGCATTGTGTGTGTGTAATTGTATTAACATATCTAAAAAAAATGTATCTCCTCTCTTTACAACAGGACCATTGTCTCCCTGTCCATTGTCTATACGATTGGACAGGCAGTCTTGTCTGTGGGTTCCATAAATGACCTGTCGGATCACAACCGGGATGGCTCTCCCGATAATGTACCATTGCACATGTGAGTTGCCTTGTACATGGGGGTTTTTTCCAGGCTGATGAACAGGACAACTTACACCTTGAATTTCAACTGTCTTTCAATCAGTCTAGTATTTATGCTTTAAGAAAGAAAATAAAGTGATTTTTTTTTTCCCCTTTTTCTCTTTTCTCCTTTGCTTCAGTGCTCTGTCCATGATTGGCTTGATCCTCATTGCGCTTGGTACTGGTGGGATCAAACCTTGTGTGTCAGCATTTGGTGGAGATCAGTTTGAAGATGATCAGGTAACAGTGTCTTTCAGATTTTCAATTATACAGAAATTTTAATACTCTAATAATGTTTTACTATTGTAATACTCTAATAATGTACGTGTTTAGACATATGCATTACTGCAGTGTTTCCTGAGTAGCTGAAGAAGGAGATACTGAACTATTTGTCTTGAAATGTGAAAATAGACTTGCTAATTTAATAATCTAGACTCATCAATGTGGTTCTGGCTAAGCCTTTCTAAACATCTTTGTGTTTTTACTGTAGGAAAAACAAAGAAGTACCTTCTTCTCTCTTTTTTATATGGCCATTAATGCTGGAAGTCTCATATCTACTATAATCACCCCAAGTCTCAGAGGTAAGGCCACATATTTGTTTATAAGCAGTTAAACATCAGAAAAGGATGAGTGTTGGATTGCAGTCTAGTTAGGTTTAAATTAAAGTCATGTTCTCTGACACACTGGAGTTATCTAGCAAATGGTTTTCAGTGTGCCATTCAACTTCTCACAGGCGAGGTACTGTCAAAAACAAGCCAATCTGAGACCTGAATTGCCTTTAGGATCAGAAATACTAGATCCAAAGAGACATGGTGGAGCTGACAACTTGTATGCCTTAATGCATGTTTTAATTCTGTGAAGATACAAATGTGTCACCTCTTCCAATGCCTTTAAAGCCATCACACTAGAAAGAGTTGTATTGTTTGCTGGGAAGGGAAGTGGGGAGAGAGCCCTCTCCTCTGGAAGTGAAGGCTATTCTGAAGTGTGCTCATGCTAAGTACAGAAGCATCAATACACGTAGTAACCCATTTATCCATGTGACAAGGTAAATAACTTTTCATATTGTTAAACAAGAAAGTTATTTTCTCTTCTGCTTATAAAGAGTAGCATGACCCTAAACAAAATGCAAACAATTTGCTAATCTATATGCATATGGAATTCTGTGGCAAGCTTACACAGATGGTGCTGTATGGATGTGCTTGGCAGGAGTTTGAGGAAGGTTTCTTTTCTCAAAAAAAAGGAAACAGCATATGAGTTCTGGAATAACCCTGAAGCACAACCCTGAAGCACTGGGGTGAAATCCTGGCCTTTGGATTTCTTGACTGGAAGGCTGTGTAGAAGTGTTTGAGATGTTTGCTTAATGCAAATTCTGTCCTTTCCCAAAAAGGAACTAGAGATGCATAAGGCACAACATGCACTTTACTTCCTTGCTGATTAAGGGTGAAAACTACCTTGGAGAAAAAAAAAAAAAAAAGACAAATTCAGCTGAGGGAGATGATAAACTGCCACGTACTGTAAAAGTTTAACCAAAAGGCTAATACAGCTAAATCAAGACATTAGTTAGCTGCAAGCTAGCTTTTTTTTTCCCCCCCCCGATCAAACTCTCTTCCAGAGGTCCCTTCCAACCTCAACCATTCTGTGATACCTTTCATTGCTGAAAAGGGAATTATTTAAGTTGGATACTGATCATCAGTTCTGTGGATGTCAGCAGAGAGGTTTGTTGTACCCCCATGAGTTAACAATGAATGTGAAGTACAGAAATCATACGTAAAACATCAGTAGTACTGACTGGGACTTTAATCTAATGTTACTTTGTATTTCAGCTACAGAATGTGGCATTCATACCAAACAGCGATGTTACCCGCTAGCTTTTGGAGTTCCCGCTGTCCTGATGGCTGTCGCCTTGAGTAAGTGGTTCTGTTGCCATCTTGCTACTTCAGTGATTAGATGATAATGATTTCATAATGGAAAAGTGATAGAAATTTCCAGGTAATACCTCTACTAAGACCTGAATATTTCTGCAATTTTTAACTCAAAATTTTTTCGTGGGTGGAATTAAACTGAAGCCCTCACTTTTCCAGAAGAGACTGATGTACCAGGAGAGACTGATGGGGCTGGGGAGAGGCATGAATATACCTTTGAATTCTATATATTCTGTAAACTACTGTCTATATTTCTTGGACTACTGGGATATATAAATAGATCTTTTGAATGTAGTGTGAAAATTCTCAGAAAATATGTGTTTTGGAAGTTATCTCTAGTCCAGTAATGCAAAGTGTATAATTGTCCCTGCAGTGGAGAAATCCTGTACTTGGTATGTCATTATTTCTCAAACACCTGCATTTTTATTAGCTGTGCTACAGGTCACTCCCTGAGCCTGACTGCTACATCACAAAGACCAAGAAACTGGGGGGTGCCATTATGTACCAGAGTAACCCTCCTGGGTCCTGGTCCTGACCAGGAGCCCACCCAGCTACCAGTGACCTCACCTTGCCTGTGCGCTCAGCCTGAGCTGCACGATTGCTCTGGGGACCTGTGTCCTGCCCTGCATGTGATAGGGTGAGGCTGAGGAATGTGCCCTGGGCATGGGAGTAAAGGACACCTTGGTGAGTCCTGCAGTTCAGGCGGAGCCTCGTGTTCCTGTATGATGTGAGCCGTAGCATCCTGAACTCCTGAAAAGGAGCCCGTACAACAAGGCCAGAGCCAAGGTCCCAAGTGGTCCTAGTTATGACCATTCCTCAATCAAGCTGACCTCCCATTGAACACTTACCTTAAGAGTTTCCAGATTTAGTTTTTTGTCTTAAATAGAAGCAATCTGCTGGTATTAATTTGATTTATTTTACTGTATGATAGCATGAGAATAGGCCAATTCATTGCTCATTAGGAGACTTATTTCCACCCTCATCTAACTCCTTAACTGTTACAGTTTCCATACCAGATTATTTGCCACTATTTTAATATAATTCTGAGTTGCTTTTGGTTTCCATTTGCATGTTGTAGTCGTGTTTGTAGCTGGAAGCAGAATGTACAAGAAAGTTAAGCCTCAAGGAAATATAATGCTTCAAGTTTGCAAATGCGTTGGAGTAAGTACTGCTTTTATTCCCAAAATCCCTGGCAGCAATTTTTAAAACTGTTCTGTAAACATTCCTAGATCAGAAATCTGTCGTAATATAAGGAAAGGTTCTAAGGATTTTTTTTATTTTTTTTTTTTTTACTTTTCTTTCATTGCTGACACCTCCAGGTTTAGACTGCCCTTTTATTAAGTATATCTTGATTTATACATAAATTATACAAGTGAATTTATACATAAAGGAAACAAAGTAAGATGTCAGTGGTATGTAAAAGCTTATCCCAGCTTCTGGGAATCATTTCCTACACATTTGCGCACCTTTCTGCAGCCCTGTAGTAAGAGATAAACATGCCTTGACCTAAGGCAAGAGCAGAGCTACCAGTACATTTTATCAGCAAGTATTTATTGCTTATGAAAAGAATGTTATTTGCAATGCAGAGGTATATTGATCCCCACTGCATTTAAGAAGTTGGGGGTTACATATCAGTGTGAGCGTGCAAGGAAGGGAGTGGAACCTGCACGAGTAGATTTGCAATAGATTTTTGCAGTGCCTCAACTTTGAAATCAGGGGGTTTTTTCATTTATGGGCTGCTTCATTCTCTGTGCAGCCCTGCCAGCTTGTTATAGTCTAGCCCATTGCTTATCTTGTAAGCACTGTCAAAACTAAATCTCTACAGGTGACTGGCCATTGCTTAGAGTGCTGCTCCTAAGACCCACCTCTGCCTTGCATATTATTCCATGTGGAAAATCTTGGGAGTTCTTTGGGACTATATTTGTGTAGATTCAATATCAGAGTGTGAGGCATATCCACAAGATGCAGCTTCTTATACTGAAATGTACTCTTACAGCCATTCAGCTCTGAAAATCTGTGCATATGACACTGCTCTACTTATTGTTGTACCTAAGTAAGTCTGAAGAAGACAGGTCTTCAAGCTCCCAACATCAACCTACACTGAGAGAGACTACTCTCAGATGTTTGGTTCACCTAATCCCAAGTGCGCACTCCACTGGATATGCAGTGTGAGGCCTTAAATGCAATATTCCCGTAGATGATTGGAGCAGTTAACAGAAGTAACCTTTAGCACCCTCTAAACACTAGAAGTGGGAGCATAATCTTCAATGACAAAACAGCTCATTGCATTTATAAATATTTGTAGTGCCATTAAACAATTCTGTCTCTCCTCAGTTTGCCATCAAAAACCGGTTTCGGCATCGCAGCAAGGAGTTCCCCAAGAGAGAACACTGGCTGGACTGGGCTAGTGAGAAGTATGATGTAAGTCCTGTGTAAGCCTCTTCTGCTGTGATACCCCCTGATCCTCAGCTTCTCTCTGTCTGCTCTGAGCCATTGCCTCAAGCATGGACAAATAGTTTTGGGCCTCTCGATCATTTAGTAGCTACTGAGCTGGCTCCCCTGGGGTTGCAGGTTATCACCTCAGCTCCTGTGGGGGAGAGCAGAGATGTGTGAGTCAATGTTCTCTGTAATCATAGGCTGTCCAGGGAAATTCAAGGGAGATGAAGAAAATACTTTCCCTTGCCAAACAAATACAAACACTTATAATTTTTCGGTTAGGAAACTAGCAAGCATTATCTTTCTCAAGTTTTTGTTTCTCTTGATAAACTGCCTTCAAACAAAATATGCTGGTTTAATGACTGCAGAGGGGAAAAATGGGAATGGTGCTGCTGCCTGTCATGGTTAATGCACAGGGCCATAATCCTTGTCTTGGGATGAAACTTATGAATTATGATTTGGATTTTCAGTTGAAGTGGGTAAACACTGCATCCCCTCTGGCCTCAGTATAATTTGTAACCATGACTCTTAAAGCCTGACATCCCATAGACCCCAACCATGTTGCTTGCCTCCGATCTGCTTTGCCCAGTTGTCAATGGCAGCACAAACCTTAGCCTGTCACTTCCATTTTCCTTTTGCCTATATGGTTTGTTCATATGTGAAATTCCTCACTTGCCTGTCATTCAAATGCCTCCTTCCTAAAAAAATAATGCAGCACTAAGTGATGAATCTCATGCTGCCATCAGTATACATGCAAAGAAGACCAGGTCTCTCTGGTATCAGAGTCACCTTCCACACACACAGCCCTTCCCACATCCACAATCAAACTTTGTATTATTTTAACAGAAATAATCAGAAGTACCCACAACATGGGAAGTTTAGTATGTGGGTAAACATTACATGATGGTTCTTTGCCTGTTGCTCTGCTGTGAATAGCAGTCTGCAATTGTCTTTTTTTTTCTTTTTTTTTTTTTAACCAATTCCTCCTGTGTAATTCTTATTTGCTGCAGAAACGACTGATTGCTCAGACTAAGATGGTGTTGAAGGTGCTTTTCCTTTACATCCCTCTCCCCATGTTCTGGGCACTTTTTGACCAGCAGGTAAAGTAGAAATTGTTTGGCTTGTTAATTAGAGCTGTACGCTATCACTCTATGTTCTCTGAGGTCACCAGACATAAAAGGTGTGTATGAGAGGGTAGAAAAACAAATTCTTTAACCCGGTTTTAATGCAAAATGGTAGTTACTGAGTCCTGCTACTACAGGATGTTCTGCAGTCAGGGTAATCTTAGTTTATCTGAACATGCCCAGGACTGATTCAGTGACTGAGGCCTCTCCAAATTTTGTATCAGACCCGGACTCAGGGGGTGAAACAGTAATTTAAATTTTTCTTAGTTCTAATGTTTCTTCTGTTGTCAGTTGTGAGATGAAATTTAGTGTCCTAGTGCAAATGATGTTGAGAATCAGGGCTTAAACGATCAGGATGCCAGTTTGCTTAATCACTTGCACCCTGTTATAAATGCAGAATCACAGAATATGCCAAGTTGGAAGGGACCCACAAGGATCATTGAGTCCAACCCCTGGCCCTGCACAGGACCATCCCCAAGATTCATATCACATGCCTGAGAGTATTGTCCAAATTCTTCTTGAACTCTGTCAGGCTTGGTGCCATGAAGACTTCCCTGGGGAGCCTCTTCCAGTGCCCTCTTCACCCGCTGAGTGAAGAACCTTTTCCTAATATCCAACCTAAACCTCCCATGACACACCTTCAGGCCATTCCCTTGGGTCCTGTCATTGGTCACCACAGAGAAGAGATCAGTGCCTGCCCCTCTTCTCTCCCTCATGAAGAAGTTGTAACTGCAATGAGGTTTCCCCTCAGTCTCCTCCAGGCTGAACAGATCAAGTGACCTCAGCCACTCCTCCTGTGGCTTCCCCTCAAGGCCCTTCACCATCTTCATTGCCATCCTTTGGATGCTCTCTAACACCTTAATATCTTTCTGTATTTTGATGCCCAATATTCAAGGTGAGGCTGCACCAGTGCAGAGCAGAGCGGGACAATCCCCTCCCTCAACTGGCTGGCAACACTTTGCCTGATGCCCCCCAGGACACGGTTGGCCCTCCTGGCACTGCTGAGTCATATTCAACTTGCCATCAACCAGGACCCACAGGTCCCTTTCCGTGGCACTGCTTTTCACATCTCATTCCCCAGTCTGTATGAACGTCCAGGGTTCTTCAAGCAGAAGTATAAGCCTATAACTCCCATTCATTTGGTGAACTGAGTGCTGTTACAATTAGGTAGTTCTGATATGAAATTCAGAGCTAAATACTCATTTCATGAATAATAACTCATATCTTGGACAGTGGTACATTGCAGGTGGTTAAAGGCATGCAGCACAGATGCAGCAATAAGAATTCTTGTCTCACCCTAGGATCAGACTGAAAGTCAGCCCCACTTAACCCAGCTATTGGCAGGTTTTTGAGGCAGAGGGCTCAGGGCAGGTTGAGCCCTGGCTTGTCTGCCCACTCTGCTGGGCTGTGTGAAGGAAGGATGGATGTATTGGAGGTGTGGGCTGCTCGAGCTCAAGCAGGTGGCACACAGGTGCATTGGTGCCTTCTATGCATAGCACGTGGCAGTGCTCTGCACAGGATGTCCCTGCCATCTCTCCACCTAATTTCTGCATCTAAATTATTTTCCACTCTATTTCACAAAACAAGTAAATGAAATTAAATGGACCATGAGGATTGCTTTGTTCAAATGTTTATGTTGCAGAATAAGAATACTCCCAAAGCTAGCTTTATTTTTTTTGTTGTATTGCATATTTTCCCCAACACTTTACTTATGAAAACAATTCAATTGGAACTTTGGAAGATTGATTTACTATGACATCTAATTTTCTCTTCTTTTATTAAGGGATCAAGATGGACACTGCAAGCCACAGCAATGAATGGGGATTTTGTAAGTTAATTTTTATTCCTGTTGTTTTTTTTAAGTAACACTTTTCAGACCACTTACTTGTTGTCATAATATTAAAAACTATTTATTTTTCCTTCACCAGGGTATTGCAGTTCAACCAGACCAAATGCAGGTACATTTAATCTTCTATCTGCTGATTTCTTCTGAAAGATTATTTACATATTGACCTTCATTTTAAAAAAAAATTACTTTGAAAAATACTTAATTTTTTTCCTCTTGTTGTGTTCATCTTCTACAGATTGTGAATCCAATCCTGATTATTATAATGGTCCCAGTTGTAGATTCTTTGATTTATCCTTTAATCAAGAAATGCAAGATCAATTTTACGTAAGTTGATGTAGTTACCTGACTTCAACAGAAGCTCGTTTTAGTGGTTTCTTTAAATGGCTCTTCCAGCCCTAATGTAACGGTAGTGTATTCAAAATGGGTTAATATTTAAAAGAAATGAAAATATAAAAAAATATAGGGTATTGCAAGTGGTGTGTAGAGGCACCACAGAGTAGAATCTAATAGTAAAGTAACAATATTTTCCAGTTAAGGACAAAACCTTCCGATTGCAGGAGATGCTCTTTACTGTTTTCCACATTCCCTATGTCTACGCCCTCTCCTTCCTCAAGAATATGACGTAGAAATACAACATATATTCTTACTATGTGTCATGTTTTGGGCTTAAAACTACCTGAAGATGTGTTTCCTCTTCTGTCCCAGTGAGGAGTCTGGCTCACTGAATACCTCTAGCTGGATCTTCAGTGGGCATTACATGTTATTTTTAAAGTTGGTAATGAAGTGGCTAGCACTTGCAAGAGAGCTTGGAGAGGCAGAAGAGAATACAGTTCTTAAAACAGTTTTCACGGAGCTAAGGTGCAATGTTGTTTTTCCATACAGTTAGGAAGAATCAAGGGTGTGTGATGTGCTGGAAACACTGTCATTCATTTATGAACACTCTACATTGGACAAATGATGCCATGAATAAAATGGCTACTTTAAATTTACCCTTACAGCTTAACTGAATATAAGTAGATGTCTTCTAATTCAAAAAATTCCTCTCACTTCTTTTGTTCAGTATTATTTAAACATATGATATGGACACACATTGTTACTCTCTTTTAAAGGCATATCTACCTGTCTCTTTGTTGTGAAGCTAACAACTGTATTAGATTCAGGTTTTTCTTCCTGCAAAACAGACTTTTTCAGAAACCTAATAACTATGTTCAATCAGTATTTGAGCCCAGCAGATGCAGAGTAACAGTTTATACTAAGAAGCTGCAGAAAAAACATATTTCCTGAAAGTATAACTATAAATTGAGGCATACCTAGCTAAGCAGAACACTTTCTGTAATAATATCAGCCCTTCAAATGGTGATAATGTGCTACCTGTGGCCATTTGAATTTCCAAAGGTGGAAAGAGAAAAACACACTTCTGAAGCTTTGAATTCACACTTCTCTTAAAACTCACTTGTCTTTTGTTGTTGTACTAGGCCCCTGAAGAAGATGACTGTTGGTATGTTCCTTGCCTCTATGGCTTTTGTTGCTGCTGCCCTTGTGCAAGTGCAAATAGATGTAAGTTCAGCCCCATGCGAGTATTTACTATTAATATTTGGTTGTTAATACAGAACAAAGTGTTTTTAGCGGGGAAATGAACTAAGACTCCTAAATTTGGAACCAAGCATACAAGCGCGGAAGTAGAAGGATGGGAAATGCTAGAGAATATTGCAATACTGTGATTAGCATAATAAAAAAACCCAGGATGTGGGAAAAGCTCATTCCTTGAACTGCAGGGTGGCCTTGGTAGTGCCAGCATGATGTAGCATGTGATAAAAGAAGAACCACATCTGGCCATGGAGGCATTGTTGTGGATGAGAGACTTCTTTCCTAAGGCAACTTGTGAGACTTGTAACAAAACCTGTTATTTGTGTTGCATCCCTCAGACAACTGTAGATTGTAGATTATTTCAACATGAAATAATAAAGATCACAGTAATTATAGTAATTTTTCCATGTGACTTAGGGCGCTGATTTTACTTTTTTTCTGTCCTGTAGAAAACTACTCCAGTTTTCCCTGCAGCTGGACAAACACAAATCAGATTAATGAACCTAGGTAATGTTCCTGTAACAGCTCAGTTTCAACCTCAACTTCAGAGTGTGCATGTAGCACCTAAGGAGGCGGTAAGTAAGGGCAGATGAGGAACAGCAAGTTAAGAAAAATCTAATGGAGTAAGTCAGTCATTCTTAACTAATGGTTCAAAATTGATATTTTTTTTCCTGGGTTTTTTTTCTTCTAGTAATTTTAACTATTTCTTTTTTTTGTATTGTGCAATGAATTGTTACTAAAAAGACAGTGAATGAAGAAATGGTAACTACGTCAATATTTCGACAGACTAGTTTGTTTTGACAAGAGTAGAGGTTTCTTTCAAGAAACGTTCATAAACTTATCAGTGACTTTAAACTAGTTGAAAACTTCACTCATTAAAAAGGTTCCATTTCTTAACAGCAAGAACTCTCCTTCCATTCAGCTCTAGTTAAGTCACTGCTATTACTGTAAGGGATGGCTTACTTGAACAAGGAGCTTTTTCTGTGGCTACATCATATGTTAAGCTTCAGGCTCTAATACAACACAGCACTGGTAGCTCTGTTGAGAGCAAAATGTTATGGAGCTGATGGAGCTTTTTGATAAAGGATGTTAGAAGCATGATCTCTGATAGCCTGAGGTCCTTTTTCTACATAAGAGGAAAAATCCTACTCCATCCTCCTCCAAATGGAAACAGAGCTATGAGGAGAAGATAAGGGCACCCAAAGTGTATACTGACAAGGAATTTATATAATCATGGTTTATACCTGAAAATGAAGGGCATACTCTGTCTATTAATGTTTTAAGTATTTTATGTTGATTAAACATGTTTAGAATATTTTAAACATGTCACTTCTGTTACACTGAAACCATAAAGATGAAGTTTGCATTTGCATCTTTTAGGTGTTGCTATTTGGAAAATGCTTCATCTTATGATAGTGCTGCCTCTGTAGCTAAGCAGAATTTTTTTCTGGTGGTTGTGGTAAGCCTGATTTATATGGAGCAAGAAATACACAGGAAAATATAACAGCTATTCCATAATGTTTGTGGAAAGCCCATGTGACTTTGAAGCTTGTGTAACAAATTAAATTAATAAAAGAATAGTGATCCAATGGAACAAAACTGAAAGTTAGGGGATGCTTATGATCTCTGGCACTTCAGAAGTAGCACATGTATAAACTTCTGACACCCCTGAGTCCATAACATTCCCTCAAAGTTGTAGACAAGTATGCAGTTGCACAGAAATTCATAGCAATTTGTTTGTCTTTGTAGACAGACTACATGATATTTGAGGCTTCTGAGCTGCAATTAGACATAACTTCTGGATCGCTAAACGAAGCTCATCTTTTGGAGGGCCTGCTAGAGGAAAAACGTTACACTTACGCATTTCAAGTGTCTGGAACAGACATTGTTTCTAGTTTGGTAAGTCTGCTTAATTCTTAAAATATACATTGATGTTTTGATAGCTAAATATGTGGACTGTGTGAAGCTGAGAGGACAAGCTCTGAGTAGCTTTTTATTTTGTCTTGTTTTCTGTCTCTCCTTGTCTTTGCTGTACCAGTAAGACTGGTGAGCTGTAGAGAGCAGGCCAGGATATTGTTTAAAAAAAAATTAAAAAAAAATTTTATTTACCTTGATGATTACCCTTTCCCCAAGATTTAGATGTGTGGTCATATGAGTTTTCTAGTAAACCTGTATTGTAGTAGGTTCCTAAAGTGGAAAGTCTGGAATCTTGCTCTGAAGTCTCTGTTAATTGCCCACTGCCATGCAATAATGCATATTAAAGCTCTTCACTGAGGCCAATGAAGTATTTTGATAATGGTCTATTCCACCAGATATTGGACAATGTTACATCAAAACCAGAAGAAGGACAAAATCTCATCAGGTAGAGTTTGTTTTGCTTCTAAATTTTGACAGCAGTGTGACTATCTCTTCAATATATGGGTGGACTCTTCTTGTTTAATATAGTTTTCTATACTGTAGGAGCTCGCCTCTTGCTGGATACTTCATTTGATGTTTAGGGTGTGTAAGAACTTCCGAGGCATGATTCATTTAAGCTATCTTGCACATCTGCTTTGGGTTTAATTTAGCTAAAATCAGAAACATGTATTTCACTCCATTGCCTAGACTTTTTTATTGATGAACTGCACAGACTACGTGTCTATACCTTCTTTTTAGACTTGAATAAAAAATATTCTCCTGCTTCTCTCCTTTTTTTTCTACATTTTCCATTTGCTGATGAATTTTCTACTGGTTGTAGTAGTGGTTTGCTTTTGATGTTCTCCTAAGAAAAATATTAAATGGGAAGACTTGATCCTTGTTGTGCTGCCAGTATATTATTGAAAGTAAAACCTGTGTTCTTTGACTTATGTATATTTTGCGTAGTGTTTAATCACTCCTGCATTTTAAAGGTTTATAAATAGTGATGTTTCTACTGTTGACATTACTCTGGATGATGAGACTGTTGCAGTGCTGCCTCCTCTTAGTGCCAGTAATTACACCACCATTCCAGGAGGACACTCGTAAGCATTTTTCTTTATCCTAATTTAATCTTAGACATGCTTGTCCTTGGGAAAAGGGCATAGAACATTTTCTTTTTATATATATATATATAAAATAGACACAATTGACTATACCTATGGTTTGAACTGTTTTCTTTTTCAGGCGATATACCATTAAGAGTGAAACGTCCTCATCCATTTGTTCAGTTTTATCAAAGAAATTTGGATTTGGCAGTGCCTATACCATTTCAATCGATGACGTGAGTTGCCAGTGTTGTTTGATGGACAATATAGAATTACTTTCCATGTTGTATACTTTAATTAAAAGGCACTTGTAGAATTATCCCTCTTGCTCCTAATCATACATATGATATAATTCTGGTGTGTTAAATGAAACATAAAGCCATTGCTAACTATAAAAATAATGATGGGTATAACAATGACATAATGCAAGAATTCATGTTCATCACTAATAGCCTCAAATCTTTAGCCCCATTAGATACTATGGATTTGCATGAAATCTGCTGTAAATACCTATACTTTATAACTAGGTATGCAGCTCTTCATATGCAATATTTTTTATTTACCCAGAACTTTGTATATGATTATAGAACTACTTAAAGTGTCTTTAGTGTGCAGACTTTTTATTACTTTTTATTTACTTTTTATTACTGTTCCTAACGTGCTATTTTGATTTCCAGTGTACTCAAGGCATTCTTAATATAACATATTTTGAAGATATTCCACCCAGTTCAGTCCATATGGCGTGGCAGATCCCTCAGTATTTTCTTCTTACATGTGGAGAAGTAGTCTTCTCTGTCACTGGGCTGGAATTTTCATACTCACAGGTAGGTTTTGCTATTCTTGTGTTAAGAATCCTGATAAAAATTAAGATCTTTGATCTGTTGTTTTTAAGTGGTGGTTCTGTACTGCTGCTTTGATCAATTATATCCTTTAGAGCTCTTTAGCAGGACTGTATAAACTGATGCAAGTTGGCCCTGGTTCACTAGGATTCAGTGTTTTACATGAAGCTATGCTGAATTATATAATTTGAAGACAACCACCAGTACTCAAATTTCCTCCTCACATATGACTTTCCATTGAAAATAAGAGGAACTGTACTGCTGCTGTAAAACCGAACTGGAAAGCACTCAAATATAAAATAAGGAAATACTGATGCCTTATCTCCACACCAATTTAATCCATACAGCCTTTAGCAGCAATTTAGTTATAATTTTAAAATTCCTTTGTCTTCTGACTCCAGTTTATTAGCTGTGTGTATTTCTTCCCTTAATTCTGAGTCTAGAAGCTGCAGTGATGGAACATTTTAAGATGTGGCTTGCTAGATGATGATGCACTCAGTTTCTTCATTTCAGGTGTACCATGTGTTTCCAAGGTGTAAAATGTGCCTGTTAGTTACTCAGTATGTGTAAAGTTAAAGGTGTTATAGTTAGCGTACTAGTGATCTCTTGCTCCTCAAAGCCTTCTCCAGACCTATTTAGTTCTCTAGCAATTTATAATTTAAAAAAAATCAAACAAAACCAAAAGAATCCCAACCACCAACAAAACCAAGAAATCCTCTTTCCCCCCTGCAGAGAACCAGTGTTTGTTGTATGGTAAAAAATGCAGTAAACATCAGAAAATAAGTCATACCAGTGTTTGCCTGAAACTTAAATGTCTGTCTTTTACAGGCCCCATCTAATATGAAGTCAGTGCTGCAGGCAGGATGGCTGCTGACTGTGGCTGTTGGTAACATAATTGTCCTTATTGTAGCTGGAGCATCCAAACTCAGCAAGCAGGTAAGCCACACAAGCAATAAGTGTGCTATTATATTACACTGTGAGAAAGCAGTTCCACTCCAGAGGGGAGTCACGGCAGATAACCCTCAACCACAACTTTTTAACATCCGCATTATGGTGGATTTGCATTTAAAACTGGAATATGAGAGGTTAGTGTTGGCTGCAAGAGTGTACTAGTCAGTTGTAGAACTAGTTCTTGACTGAGTAATCTCATTAGAGAATATAAATAACACAGTTATGAATCTTTATAACTTATTTAGGTAAAAACTAGTTTTGAACTTGAACAAATAGTTCTTCAGTAGAGGCTTCTACCACTTATCTCTTGTTTACCATCCTTAACTCTTGCTGTCAGCGTCCTTTTCTTGCCAGCAGCAGTCTCTAGTATCTCTGCAGTGAATTTCTCCTCACGGTGTAGAAAGTCTGTGACCATTTTAGCTGAAATTCTGGACTAATGGAATTAAAACCTATCAAATTTCTGTTAATTCTTAATTAGCCCTCACCTGCATACCACGGTCCTGCCACATCCCTTCTGGATCCATTGGTTTCAAACCTCATTCTTTGAGGCATGAAAGCTGTGATTTTCCTGGTAAAGAACACCTGTACAAGACTGTCTATTAGTGCCACTCCCTAATGGATCAAAAAGTCTGAGAGAGGGAAAAGCCTGTCTCTGAAACAGGTCTGGCAGTCCCAGTTTCGGCTAGATTAATCAGAAAAAGCATGAAACAGGTGTTGAGGCTTTTCAGGTGGAGGTTGTACTTTGAGACCAGAGTTCCTGGTCTTGGTCTCTGCCCACATTTGTGGTCAGCAGAAACTTTTAACTGCTGACCTAAGTGGAAGCAGTGGAAGTGGTTTAGATTGAGATTACCTGACCAAAAGGAGGTGCTGAGTTTCCTTTTCATTCAATTTCCAGTTCCTTCAGGAAAAAGATATTATTGAACTTTTCAGCATTCACAGAACTTTTGTCTTTTCAGTGAAGACAGAACTACTGAAAGAATTTCAATCCTCAGTTGCTTTAATATGTAATTATATACATCTAATACTTAGTCCTATAAGCCATATGATACTTGTTAGGCACACTCAGTTTCACATTCTGAATTCTCTTCTTGCAAACACTAAAATAATGGTCCAATACTCTTGAGGAATGAATATTGGTGGATAATTTGTTTTTTTTTTTTTTTTTTTTACAGTGGGCAGAGTATGTGCTGTTTGCTGCCTTGCTGTTCGTAGTTTGCATCATTTTTGCTGTCATGGCTACCTTTTATACCTATGTTGATCCAAATGAGATTGAAGCCCAATTTGATGAGGAAGAAAAGAAAGCTAAAAAGGATCAAGATGACCGTGAAAAGGAAGCTGAAGCTGATTCTAAAATGTAGAAGCTGTATTCAAGGACTGTTCTTAAATTATGAAATCCCATTCACTCTCCCTGCAGTAAGAGGAATTTGGGTAGCAGTAATAACTCTTCTGGATAATGTCTTGTGGGAGACTTTAAGAAAACCTGTTTTAACTTAAAATGGAGCCTCTCTTGGCAAGCAATAGAAAAAGATTAGTCTCTCTCTTGTACTGTATGTGGTATCCTGAAGAAACTCCAGCAGAATTTGCACTCTTAATGTACCTCAATCTTAAATATTATAGCATTAGAATATTGAAATTAGACTTGGAACTATTGGACCTGTGAAAAGTATTTTTATACTGCATTTCAATTTTATAGCATGAAAGAAACAAGTCTTGGCAAGAAATTGAAGACAACCTTTCTGCATGATCTCTCTAGCCTCACTGTTACTTCAAAGCAGCAGGTCACATGTGCCTTAAATTCTTTTGTACTTTTGTACAGATAATGGGAGCAAAGCTCTGGCAGTGTTCAGATTAAAATGCTGTCTGTGCTCCATGTGGCAGTAACTTGGACGTGCACTGTAATGTAATGCTTTATGTGCCTGTTAACTACCCATTTAACTCCTTTTATGTCTTTAATTAATATTAGAAGTGTCCACTCAGGTAAACTGATAATGGCAAATGACCTTTGGAATAAGCAACAGCAATAAAACTTGTGGTGTAAAAACTAATGGAAGTGGTTTAAGAATGTGGCTCACAGTTGCACGTTAACAAAACTTGATCCCGCCTCTCTTCTGCCTTTCTCTATGTGTTCCATCACTTGAAGCTAATGGATCAGTGTTAGTCTTAATATACCTGTAACATCTCTCAAATTTATGGTATGGAAGACTAAATTTTGCTGCTTAACAGGATACTGTAGTCCATGTTATGGAGTGTCAGTGGTCTGCATGTTGCTTTGGGAATTTTTGTTTAAGGTTCACATCCTGTGCTTTTTCCAGCAGCTAACTTGGACTCACTGGCTCCTCCAGTAGACTGGCCAGACTTTCAACTGCTTTGATGGCTGGCTCCCAATGCTCTTATTCTATTTTACAGCAAGTCCATTTTAAAATTTGGAAGTGCTCACGCAGACACACATATTCAAGCAATATGTGTTTTGCTAGCACTGCAGATGCATGGGCCCCTGTGACCCCTGTTCCCACTCCAGTTGCTGGCACTTAGACCTTCATATGCATAGATAATAGAGTCTCTCACCCATGAAAACAGTTAGAAATGGAGTTTAAAAAGTTAAGTCCAAGGTGCTCTCTCTTCTGCATCACAGATAGTCACAGAATATTCTGAATTGGAAGGGAACCACAAGGATCATCAAGTCCAACTCTACAGGGATCAAACCCATGACCTTGGTGTTATTAGCACCATGCTGTAACTAACTGAGCTAAAAGTCCTGTTACCCTGTAGGCAGTATCCCTTATTGGTCTCTAAGGTCATCTGGGGAGAGCCTGTCCCATGGATTTGAGATGCTGCATGCCCTCCAGCCAATGGGACTGAGGGTCTCATGGTACAGCCCCAGGAGCAACTGGATCCCTGCCTTCCTCTGAGGAGTTAAGGGGGTTTTATACCAGCTTTATTTATGGTAGACTAGCCCGTCTTTCCTGTGCCATGCAAGTTAAGCAAAATAAATTCTCTTAACTGTATCTCTATAGGAGGATCTTTTGTCTACTACCTTGTCTGTACCAGATGAAATGTTTAACAGTTTAATACTACTTTTTTCTCCCTTTGAAGTACAGGTCATCTGTCTACTTTTTACATCATAAGATGTTGGAAGTTGACACTTTAGCAAACCTGCTATCTTGTCTACAACATGATGGATGTGGTTTATGGGTAGAAGGCCACTAATGCTGTAAAATTAGATGGGAAAACTTTCTGATGAGGTGAAAACTATCTATAAGGTAGCATAGAAACAGTTTTATGTGACAAGATTTTTCTCATTTTAAACTGGAATTTAAGTAATTAAAGTTAAAATATCCATGTACCTTCTCAACCAAAATTTGCTATGAAAAAATTGGGAAACCTTGCATAGACACCTGGGTAGCTCCTGTCAGCATTGCTGTGACTCTCTGGCATGAAAGCCACATGCAGCAAATCTGTCTTTTGGACTGGAATTTAGTGTTTTCATTTCCTTAGTTTTAAGGATTAAAGGGGGTAAGGTTAACCTCTAAATCTGACAGCGTTTAGTTTTGGATGTTTCTGGCTAGACTACCAGACTGCTGCAAGGGTCTTTTACATATATTTTTCTGTTACAGAGAAGACAGCCTGAAATCAATTGGATTAACAGTTGATTATTCCAAATTCAGTTCTTAAAACAAACAAGAACCTTTTAAAAAAATGCAAGAGTGGTGAATTATGAAAGCCTGCTCTAGCACTCCAATCTACATTCATGTGCAGCTGGGTAGATACAGGAATGTATGTCTGTATGCTTAATATTACAAATATATTGTACTGCTTTCATGTTTTTTCCTACTGCTCCTTAGCTCAGCCTAATTGACACTTGATTTAAAATGGGTCAACATCAGAGTTTCTGAACTACATCAATCTAGCCCCTTTGCTGTTTTTAAAAGGGGCCATTTTAAAACAGCTGTTTGCTGTTCTTAAAAATTGGCTTACTTAGCAGCACAGTCCTTTCAAAAACTTATCTGTAGTTATAGACAAATGTCTATACAATGTTTTTCTTGGGTAGTTGTTTTTTGTTTCTGTTTTTTTTTGTTTTGTTTTTTTTTTTTTGAAGGAATTGCAAGCTACCTCTATATATTCTTCCTCTACAAATTGCTTTTACCTTTTTCTTTCACAACTTAACATAGTGCCTTAGCATAATATCATTGACCATCTTGCAGAGGTTAGAATATTGATAATAAAATAACTGGATCCTGCTTTAAAGAGTGAAAGAGAGACAAATTATCAAAGAGAAAAACTGAAATCATCCTCCTCCACCAGGAGATGGTTCAGGACAATTAAGAATGCTCCATTACCAGCCTAATTCAATCACTGCTCTTCCTCCTATCAACAACACTGGGTTTTGTAGAGCTTAGCACAGTACAAGGGTAACGTGAGAGCCTGTAATTCAATGTGCTCTCTATTATTGCTGTTAAATGTTATCATTTTCCCATGCTCATACCTAACCTTAGTCAAAGCTCTGCATAAAATACCTGATGCCCAGAAGTGGATAAAAAGTCTATTTCCCAGGGAATTTAACAGTGCTCTGACTGTGTATGGAGGAGAGAGAGGAGAGGAAGATGAGAAAAACACAGGACCTGTGTTTTTCAGAGAGTAGCTATGTGCTTACCTGAAAAATAGAATCATTAAGGTTGGAAAAGACCTGCAAGATTGTCAAGTCCAACCTCTGACTAATACAACCACGTCCCCTGAACCACATTGTGAAGTGTCACATCCACTCATTTTTTGAATACTTCCAGGGATGATGACTTCACCACCTCCCTGGGCAGCCTGCTCCAATGCTTAACCACTCTTTTAGTGAAGAAAATTTTCTTAGTATCCAATCTAAACCTCCCCTGGCACAACTTGAGGCCATTTCCTCTCATCCTAGCACTAGCTCCCTGGGAGAAGAGGCTCACCCCTACCTTGCTATACCTCCTTTGTAGAAAGCAATAAGGTTTTCCCCATGCCTCCTTTTCTCTAGGCTAAAAAACCCAGCCACTCCTCATAGAACTTGTGCTCCAGCTCCTTCTCCAGTTCTGTCGCCCTTCTCTGAACACACTCTAGCACCTCAGTGTCTGCCTTATAGTGAGGGGCCCAAAACTGGACACAGAATTTGAGGCATTACCTCACCAGGGATGAGTACAGAGGAACAATTGCAGCTCTGGTCCTTCTGGCCACTTCTGATACAGGCCATTGGCCTTAGGATGCCATTGGCCTTCTTGCCCATTGGCACACTGCTGGCTCATGTTTGGTTGACTACCGATCAGCACCCCCAGGTTCTTTTTTACCAGGCAGCTTTACAGCTATTCTTCCCCCAGACTCTAGCACTGCATGGACTTGTTGTGACCCAAGTGCAGGACCCAGTACTTGGCCTTGTTGAACCTCATACCACTGTCCTTGGCTCATCGATCCAGCCTGTCGAGATCCTAGTGCAGAGCCTTTCTACCATCCAGCAGATCAACACTCCTGCACAGCTTGGTATTGTCTGCAAAGTGACCGAAGGTGCATTCAATCCCCTTGGCCACATCATCAGTAAAGACAGTGAACAGGGCTGGCCCAAATACTGAGCCCTGGGGAAAACTACTAGTGACCAGTCACCAGCTGAATGTAACTCCATTCACCACCACTCTCTGGAGGTGGCCATGCAGCCAGTTTTTAACCCAACAAAGAGTGCATCTGTCCAAGCCATGGGCTGCCAGCTTTTCCCAGAGAATGGTATGGGAGATAGTGTCAAAGGCTTTACTGAATACTAGGTAATCTACATCCATAGCCTTTCGCTTATCCAGGAAATCAAGTTGGTCAAGCAGGACCTGCCTTTCATAAACCCATGCTGGCTGGGCCTGATCCCCTGCACATGCTATGTGATCACACTCAAGGTAATCTGTTCTATAACCTTCCTCATCACTGAGGTCAGGCTGACAGGTTCCCAGAATCCTCCTTCCTACCCTTTTTGCAAGAGGGTGTCACACTGGCTAGCCAGCATCTACCTCCTTTATAGTGGCATACCAAACACTGGTGATCTTAAGTAGTGTAACAACTGTCATTGACTGCATCCTAAAGGAATCCTAGTTATTGCAGAAGACAATCAGATAGGTTTGACTTTGCTGCACATATATTGTGAATGAAAACCTGGCTTTCCCTGCAATGCCAAAATATGTGTAAGACCTTCTGAAACATGCATAAGGAGACTATCTGCAGTGAAAGTGGCTCTGTCTCCGTAACACTATTGCTGTATTTTGGAGGCGAGGGGGAATTAAAATTTGAAACTGTGGAAGCCGCATAACTAAATAAAGTAATTAACAAAAATTATGCAAGAGCTAAGCGTGAAAGAGTG